TTTTGGTTTTTCTCCGGTACCGGGAACCGAACTCACGACCTTGCGCTTGCCAGGCAGGCGCTTTGCCGCTGAGCTAAATCCCCAGCCCCAACCCCAGACTTATTTCACTTTTTTCTTCCCCACTAGCATGCAGTTGGTACACATTCTTCCCATCTGTGTGTGTGTGTGTGTGTGTGTGTGTGTATGTGTGTATGTGTTTGTGGTATGTGCTTTATGAGCTGGAAATTCAGAGCCTCACACATGCCAGGCAAGAGCTCTACCACAGAAGTACATCCCCGTGTAAAAATATATTTTATAGCTAGGCATATACCTATAGCCCCAGCACTTGAGGCTGAGGTAGGACTGGTCTACACAGTAAAACTACCCTGAACTACATAGTGAGATCCTGGGATTACAGGCATGTGCTACCACACCTGACTTATGTTCAGTTTCTCTATCTTTCTGAACAAGCTAAAGATTTGACCTTTTTTTTTTTTTTTTTTTTTTGAGACAGAGTCTCACTTTGTGGTTGAGGCTGGCCTTGAGCTCACTATGTAGCCCTAGCTAACCTCAAACTCATAGCAATCTTCCTGTCTCAGCCTCCTGAGTGCTGGGGCCCCAAGTATGCACCACCATGCCCACCTCAGGATTTGACTTTTTTATTCCTGTCTTCTATAGTAATACCTGTTCTTTTTTATTATTAGTCACTAATATTTATGTGTAGATTTTTTTTTTTGCGACAGGATCTCACTATGCAGTTCAGGCCTGCCTTGAACTCACTTTGTAGCCGAAGCTGGTCTCGAACTCGCAATGATTCTCCTTCCTCAGCCTCCCAAGTCCTGAGATTACAGGCATGCGCCACCATGCCCGGCAATGTGTAGATGTATTAAAATGAATTATTCATTCTTAATTCCCACCTCCATCCTTCTCTTGTCTCTTTCCCATTTACAAAAGATCTCACCTCATTTACTATTATCTGTCTCTTATTTTACTCTTTACTTATATTTTGGGTTTCTCATATAAGAGAAACCATGCAATGTCTAAACTTGTGTGTCTGATGTATTTCTTTCTTTTTTTTTTTTTTGTCTTTTTGAGACAGGGTCTTGCTATGCAGTTCAGGCTGGCCTTGAGCTCACTTTGTAGCCCAGGCTGGCCTTGAACTCACAACGATCCTCCTGCCTCGGCCTCCTCAGTGCTGGGATTACAGACGTGTGCCACTACGCCCGGCTGTCTGATGTATTTCACTTAACATTATGGTCAGTTTTAGCACACGCTGTCAAATAATTTTTGAAGGTGCATCCATTTTCCTACAAATAACTCAAGTTTTTTCTTCCTTATGACAGAATAGTGCTCTAGTGTGTGTAAATATCACATTTTCTTTATCCATTCATCTATTGATGAATGTGGGCTGCTTCTAAGATGTAGCTATAGGGGCTGGGGATTTAGCTCAGCGGCAAAAAGCACCTACCTGGTAAGCGCAAGGTCGTGAGTTCGGTTCCCGGTGCCGGAGAAAAACCAAAACCAAAAAAAAAAAATCTAAGATGTAGCTATTATTACGAATGGTGTTGCTATGAACCATAGGTATGCATGTGCCACTAATATGATGCCTTTAACTCTTTTGAGAAGATACCTAGAAGGGGAGTAGCTGTGTCTATACTGATTTCCATAGTGGTTGTACTAGTTTACATTCCCACCAACAATGTACAAGCCACACTCAGCCTTGCCAGCATTTGTTATTATTCGATTTCTTGAAGATAGCCATTTTTTTCTGGAGTAAGGTGGAATCTCAGTGTGTTTTAATATGCATTTCTCTAAAGACAACTGTTTAATCTCTTTGTTAAGATTTGTCTTAAAAACCTAAATGTCCATGTTTTTCTTTGTCTTTTTTTTTTTTTTTTTTAATCTTTTTGAGGCAGGATCTCACTATGCAGTTCAGGCTGATCTTGAGCTCACTTTGTAGCCCAGGCTAGCCTCAAACTCACAATGATCCTCTTGCCTCAGCCTCCCGAGTGCTGGGATTACAGGCGTGCGCCACCATGCCTGGCTGTCCATGTTTTTCATTGCTAGAATTTCTCTTTGGTTCTTTTTCAAATCCACTCTTCCTTCTAATATCTTATTCCTATCATATAAATTCTGCTTCTTCCTTTATATATTGGAACATATATGTGTGTGTGGTATCAGAAGACTAAACCCAAGACCTTGCTCTACCACTGATCAACCCTTTAAAAAAATTTTTATTTTGAGACAGATTCTCATTAAATTGTCCAGGTGGGTTTGAATTTGCACTCCTCCTAGCCTCAGTCTCCCAAGTTGCTGGGCTTACAGGTGTGTGTGCCTAGGCCCAGTTATTTGAACATTTTAAACATTTATTTTAAACATATTTCAGAAATTGAGACATATTTAGGTTGTCCTTTCATCTATAATTCATTGGTTGTGGGGCTGGGGATTTAGCTCAGTGGCACAGCACCTGCCTGGCAAGCGCAAGGTCGGAGTTCGATTCCTGGTACCGGAAGAAAAATTTAAAAACAAAAAAACAAAAAAAAAAACCAAAAATATAATTCATTGGTTGTAAATTTCTTCATTCACTGCTTCTGACAACTCTCTACCATGACATTTGCTTCTTTATTGATTTGTTTCCTCAGGGGCAAGATCTTGCTTATTCTCTTGATTTTGGACAAATTCCACTAAGAACTGTTTTGTGTTTTTCTAATGTAAGTACTTTTCTGTATTTCACCACTTCCAGACAATGTTTTACTAATTTCTCGGAAGGGTTCTCAAAGAGCAAGTCTAGTATATATTAAGAGCTACTTCTGACACTGGCACAGAATTGGAGGCCTGGGTTTTCATCCCACAGACTCCAAGTGGATACCCGCTCTCTAGCTGTGTT